GGTCAGCGAATCCTGTTCGTGACGCCAAATTGTTTTGGAATATTTAAATAAAAGCTCGGTAGAAGAGAATGATTTGTCTGATAAAACAGAGTTTTGATGAATGATCAAAGTTGCAAAAAGTCCATTTATTGCTTGCAAGCAGGAGGTCAAATACACAGGCACGTATCACGGTGCTCTGTGGAAATGGCGTCTCCGAGCAGTAAGAACGCTGAGTTTTTATACACATGTAAAAGACATTCTTTGTGCCAGTTACGAGAAGCTGCAAAGCAGGTTGAGATAAGAACCCAGGTGAAGATGAGGGTAGCACACACACACACACAAGATCCTCCTCAGTGGCCGGTGCAAATCATAATTAATTGTCATAAAGTAAAACGTGGATCCGGAACTTTCGTACCAAATAAGATATCAACCAAAGCCATGAACAGAAGTCCTTTGTTTTGAAGCTTCTATGAGATCGAGTCGACCGTTCTCCCTTCTCAGGGCACAGCTGCAAACTAACATTTTGTATCATGTTGCTCTTTGCACATCAGGGTCAAATACAGGACACTTGAGACACGGCTTTAGCACAAAATAATGTTATAACATATTTTACCATTACATGGCCTACTTGTGGGTGACTTCTCAGACCTGCTGGATTCCAGTGCGTAATTACCCACCGCAAGCTGCATGAAGACTAGGTGAGTTTAGTAAGAGTTTGGACTAGGCAGTTAGGGGGAATACTCCGCGGGGCAAGTTGCCTTCGTTTGTGTGCGTTTGGGGGGGTGATACGGTGCGTTCTGTTTGGTCTATGTCTTCCTTGTCGGGTTTTTTTGATGCGCCCTCTGAGGTGTTCATTAATGGCTGTACTAAAGAACAGTTGCTACAGATAGCCGAGTGTTACGTTCCAGCTCCCAAAAGGGAGGGGAACATGACAACCCACTGCTCCGGCCCACCGGTGCCAGCAAAAGGGGTATGGAGTCGCGGTGCGAGAAAAGGACAAACACCAAATATAGTATAACGCTTTTATCTAACAAAATAAATACACATAAATAAACAATAACTTTCTGGGAAATGGGGAGGGCTGGCAGGACCAAAACAAAGAAATAAACAAAAAGGTCCCCACCCCTAACCTGTACTAACCCCCCCAATCGAAAAACACTCTACCTGGAACACGGTCAAGGCGCCCTAACCAAACTTACAGGTGGCGGTCTGCTCAGGTCTAAACTGGTGTTTCTAGACAGAAGTAAACCTACGGGTGATGTATACCCCGGGGTAGCTCTAAATCTACTCCCTGTGAACAAAAGAGAAAACAAATAATTTGTCAAACGAACCAAACAAACAATTGCTCTCTTCTGCTGCTACACGTTTCCAAAAGGAACACAAGTTATCTAACACTAAACACAAATGCATATCTCCTCACACAGGGTACAAACCAAAAGCAACATGTGTGAATATGCAGCGAGCATCCAGTGCCTCCAGCGGGGTGGAGCTTCGGGTCCCAATCCTATCTGGAAAACAAACACACACACACGTAATCCCCGAATTGGAAACATTATACGAACCCAGATTTCTGGGGACGTAACACCGAGCATTATACAATCGATGTGACTAATATCAAACTTAAGGCTGAGGTGAAAGCTGTTGTTCTGTCCGCTTTAGTGGAAAGTGGTGTTTTGAGGACGGAGGAGTATTTGTCGGACGTGGCAGCTGTGGCAACACCTGTGTTTGCACCCATGTCGGGGCTGACTTTTGAGCAGCAGAAGGAGCTGCTGATGACCCGGTTAAACTTGGAAACTGAGCGGCAAATTCAAATCGAAAAGGTTCGGCAGCAAACAGAAAAAATGAAACTGGAATTGCAGCAGTATAAATTGAGTTTGATTTGTGACGGTAAGCTTTCACAGACTATGGCAGAGGAAGGTTTCCCGGATTCTGTCAGTCTCGGGTTTGATGTTGGGGCTAATTTGCGTTTAATGCCCAGATTTAATGAGAAGGATCCTGATACGTTTTTCACTTTGTTTGAGCGTATTGCAGATGCAAGAAATTGGCCGGATGCTGACAGGACCTTGATGCTTCAGTGCGTACTTACGGGTAGGGCCCAGGAAGCATATTCAGCGCTGCATGCGAGTGAGTGTATGAATTATGCCAAGGTCAAATCTGCTGTCTTGAAAGCATATGAGTTGGTTCCTGAGGCTTACCGCCAGAAGTTCAGGAAGTGTGAGAAAAGTGGTAAACAAACTAATGTGGAATTTGCTCGTGATTTGTTGTGCCGTTGGTGTTCCGCTGCATATGTTGAGAGTTTTGATGGACTTTGTGATTTGATAGTGTTGGAACAGTTTAAGAATTCGATTCCTCAACGTATTGCAGTGTGTGTAAGTGAACAGAAGGCAACTACTGCACTTAGAGCAGCTGAGCTGGCGGACAATTTTGTGTTGACGCACAAAAGTGGTTTTGGTGAGATGTGCTCAACCTGATAGAGAACGTGAAGGTAACAACCTTGAGAGTGCTCGTTTCAGGGTCCAGTCCTTAGTAGCCCGTCCCACGCATGCATTTAGAGCCACACGGGTGAGAGATGATGGTGGCGGAGAGGGCATATGTCATTACTGACGGGGTTCGGGCCACTGGAAAGATCAGTGCCCTGTACTACGAAATAGGGATAAACGAAAGTCATATCCATCTGCTCCTTCTCCAGCTCTGGCCTGTTCCAGTGTGGAGGGGCCAAGTCGTGTACGTGTCGGTCCAGAGAGTGATTTTGAGCCGTTCGTTGCTGATGCTCTAGTTTCTCTGGTGGGAAGTGAGGAGCGTGTGCCTATAAAGATTTTGAGAGACACAGGTGCTAAGCATTACTTCATTTTGGGATCAGCATTGTCTTTTTCACCTGCAACAGAAACGGGATTTTATTCAGATGCGAGGTATGGAGATGGGTTTGGTACCTGTACTGTGGCACAAGATGGTGCTTCATTGAGACCTGGTGCAAGGCATTATTGCAGTGGGTGTGCTTCCAGCATTGCCAATTGATGGGGTAGAGATGATTTTAGGCAATGACCTGGCTGGTGGGGCAGTCTGGCCTTCTGTGCCGCCATCTCCTGTGGTTGCGCCAGAGTTAATGGTGATTGCTGGGCCGGATGACTGTGGTCAGAGATATCCAGATGTGTTTCCAGCCTGCGCAGTGACCCGTGCGCAGCGTGCTAAGACCGTTTCAGACATTGGTGGAGAGCAAAGCGAGACGAAGGTGGTGATTCCTTTACCTGATCTTCCCCCATCCGTCCCTCGGCTGGAGTGGGTTGAAAGTCAGCAGGTTGATCCGTCTCTGTCTGGTTTGTTGACCAATGTTTTGCCTGAAAGTGAGGTTGGAAATGTGGCTCTTGGCTATTTTCTCCAGGATGGGTTGCTTGTGAGGAAATGGGTGCCTCGTAAAGGAGATTTTGTTGGTGAGCCTGTATTTCAAATTGTGGTGCCTGACACATTCCGTGTCGCAGTATTAAAGATCGCACATGACGAATCCGGTCATTTGGGGCCGAGGAAAACTTATGACCGCATTTTGCGATACTTCTTTTGGCCGAAGTTGAAGCGTGATGTCTCCAATTACATAAAATCGTGTCATACATGTCAGCTTACAGGTAAGCCGAGTCAGTCAATCAAGACAGCACCTCTCTGTCCCATTCCAGCAATCAGTCAACCATTTGAGCATTTGATCATAGATTGTGTGGGGCCTTTGCCAACCTCAAAGTCTGGTTGTTCTTATTTGCTGTCTGTGATGTGCCAGACAACAAGATATCCTGCAGTATATCCTTTGCGTTCAATTTCTGCAAGATCAATAGTCAAGGCCTTGACACAATTCTTTTCAATTTTTGGCGTTCCGCGTGTGATTCAGAGCGACCAAGGTTCTAACTTTACATTGCACTTGTTTGGACAGGTGTTGAAACAGTTGAAGGTGAAGCATAACCGTGCGTCTGCTTATCATGCGCAAAGTCAGGGAGCATCTGAACGTTTTCACCAGACATTGAAGTCCTTGTTGCGTGCGTGCTGCACAGAGGTACATTACATTACATTACATGTCATTTAGCTGACGCTTTTATCCAAAGCGACGTACAGTAAGTGCATTCAACCATAGGGTACAAACTCAGGAGAACAAGAAACAACATGAGGTAGGGAGAGATTGGGAAGAAGGACTACCTTGGCTGATGTTGATGTTGTCAGCCCGAGAAGTTGTTCAGGGGAGCACTGGGTTTAGTCCCAATGACCTTGTTTTTGGCCATACAGTGCGTGGTCCCTTGGCAGTTCTGCGGGATGGCTTGGGTGACACTGTCAATAGTCTGAATTGTAGTGGTATGGGTTAATATTGTGATTATGAAATGTAACTCCTGTCATCCTTCACTCTGTTCTCGTCTCTCTCTTAAAATGCTTCTTTTAGGTACCTGGTTGCAGAGCTGGGGCGTAGTTTCAATGTGGAGGGTGCTAAGGTAGTATTTTTTTTTTTTTTTTTTTGGAGTTTGCGGTGATCCCTGTTGGGACCCCGTCTTAAGGGGGGAGGTGTGACGACCCCAGCCTTCCAATGAGATCTGGTGATTGAAGGCACCTGGGCCGGGTGCCCTGAGATTAGAAAGCCCTCTGTCGCTCTCTCCTCTCTCCAGCAGACGTCCGGTGTGGTAGGGCAGCCGCCTGTTGAATCCTGTTTCCTTTTGGTTAAATGCCCTTGACAACACCCATCATTTACACTTTACCCTCATGCACATCCTACACTACTGATAATACTGACATTCACATCCCATCTGGAATGGTTGTGGTTCTTCGTTGTTCTTGTGTTAAATAAAGAATGTTACACCTCGGAAACCAGTGCAACTCTCATCTTGTCATGCCCCAAAGAGCCAGGTCGTGACGAGGAGCAAGGTACAGCAGTGTGTGTGTGTGCTCATAATGACGTCATCTCACTCGAGCAGACTGATACTGGATATAAAGTTAAAACTTGTGGGAAATTTTTCAAAGATCAGGAGCAAGCCTCAACCTATCAAAGACAGCAAAGATTAATTTAATTTTAACATTTAATATTCTTGTGCACAACAGGACACTTTTAGATAAAGGTACTTTTTCGATTGACTGAAAATCTACTTATCATAGTGATTTATATTTCATAAACATGCCATGCATGAGTAACAACAAGTGTCTCTTAGCAGATCTTTAGAGACCTCAGTTTGAAGTCCCCTGCGATTTTGATGTAGCTGATGATGTCCATGCCGCCCCGGTTGGGAAACTGTACTTCTTGTCCATCAGGAAGCTCCACTTCAAACATGTCTCCAGTCAGCTTCAACACCATCTAAAATAAAAAGGTACAGTCAAATCTTTCGTTTACAGCAGCAATTTATCTAAAAAACTTTTCCAACAAGGAAACATCTTGTGATTGGGGTGAACGGACCCATTAAGCGTTGAAACAAAAACAATCCCCGCTAAACCTTTCACAGCTTTTCTTTTTTACAAAATACACACATTTTAATGCTATTAGATCTCACAGCAGCAATCGACACAGTGGATCACATTATCCTCTTGTCCCGCCTCGAGCACTGTGTGGGCGTTAGAGGTTCTGCTCTAGAGTGGTTTAAATCCTACCTTGCAGATAGATCCTTCTGTGTACAATTGGGGAAGTTTTCCTCCTCAGTGGCTCCTCTGACCTGCGGAGTCCCCCAGGGGTCAGTTCTAGGCCCTCTAATGTTCTCCTTGTATATGCTACCCCTGGGATCGATATTTACGAAGCATGGAATCCCTTTCCATTGCTTTGCTGATGATGTGCAGGTGTACTTGCCACCAAAGGCCCACTCCAAGGAATACCTTCATGCTGTGTTTGATTGTATGACGGACATTAAAACATGGATGGACCTAAACTTCTTAAAACTAAATGAAAACAAAACAGAGATTGTGCTATTTGGTCGCCCTGACTTGGTCCAGGTCCTTGCCAGGCTAGGCTTTAGGTACGAGAGGCTGTACTTTATAGTCAATAATGCACAGTTCAAGGGTGTTGTTGGCAATTGGCATTGCTTTGGGTTGTTCGTGACATTATTAGTAAGTAAATAGCTGCATTTCAGCACAAAACAAGTTGTAGCCACCAAACGTTGTGTATCACATTTCAGCAGCCTAATGAAAATCCCTGTACTTGTCTGTTACTATAACAGACAAACAACATTGGGAACGATTGTTAGCCTACCACATGAAGTTGGTTGATGATTAGCAAGGAGATTGACGTCCTTGCCAGGTCCCTTGGCCCACCTTACATAGGTTCCCAGGCCAGAAACCTTGGTGTGATTATTGATGGGGCGATTAAATTGGACAAGCAGGTCAGCTCTGTGGTTAAGGGTAGCTTCTTCCAGCTTCGGCTTCTAGCCAAAGTCAAACCCTATCTAAACAGGGCTGACCTCGAAAAAGTCATGCATGCTTTTATATCTTCGCGCTTGGAATATTGCAACTCCCTGTATGTCGGTATCGGCCAGTGAGAACTCAACCGTCTACAGCTTGTGCAGAATGCAGCAGCCCGTCTCCTGACTGGGATAAAGAAGCATGAGCACATAACGCCTGTGCTTTCCTCTCTCCACTGGCTTCCGGTTAGGTTCAGAAAAGATTTTAAGAATCTTTTATTTGTTTTTAAGTCTCTGTATGGACTGGTCCCAGAATATTTATCCAGCCTTATTAATGGGCATCAACCCTCCAGAGCACTGAGGTCAGCTGACCAGCTGGTTCTGAACGTTTCTCGGTCGTTCCTTAAAACAAAAGGAGATCGAGCCTTCGCAGTAGCGGCTCCCAGACTGTGGAATGCTTTGCCGTTTTCTGTGCGGTCTGCGACGAGCCTTTCCACTTTTAAAACTCGCCTTAAGACTCACTTGTTCACATTGGCCTTTGGCTGAGTTAAGTCACCTGCATTGGATCTTTTATGTGTTTGCCTTTTACTGTTTTACTGTTGTTGTTTTTTGCTTGTTTGTTTGTTTTACGTTTGCTTGTATTGTTTTATTGATGCTGATTGTTTTTATCCTGTAAAGCACTTTGGCTGGCCACTGGCCTTTAAAAGTGCTGTATAAATAAAATTGACATTGACATTGACGTTGTCACTTTCTTCAGTCAGATTGTCTCACCTTAACATCTGTGCCCCTGTGTAGGGGGTTGTGTGTTTCCCGTTTCTCACTGCCCCAAGAACCAGCAGCCTTTGAGTTGCAAACAAGAACGGCTCCGTCGGTGTCATCATGGAAACGAGGGTTAAAGTGCAGGGCGAGGTCCTCTGCACCACAGCCGAGGTCAATCTCGAATCTGAGTGGATCAAAGATTATGCAATAGAATTGAAGTGTCAGCATAAATATCACCATTTAATTTAATGACATTACAAATATAATACCACGGTTTGGTTGTCTCACCTCTCAGCATTATGCGGAATTACACCCTTGACTTTCAGCTGATCTCCAGCTCTTATATTCACATTCTTCAATTCAAGTTGCTGAAAAACACAATCGTTTAGTTTGGGTATAAAAACAATTTAATTAGAAATTAAAAGTCAGATGCTATAATGGTACTTTTATTTGACAAATTACAGAAGCAAAGATGAAATAGAAGCAGCAGTCTGAGTTACCATGCTGGTTTTGGGGGCTGTTGTCGCTGGACAGTCCAGGAGCAAATGGAAGAGCTGAAAAGATGTTCTCGGCACACAAGCGGTCGTCTTCCTTAGAAGACAAAAAGAAAAGAGGCTGACTGGGAAATTTTCCCCCAATTTATAGTGTGAAGCACAAAGGATTCAGACAAAGGTCGTTTTACCGATATAAATTGGCCTGTTGATCACCATGAAAATCAGGGAGCCCTTTATATGCAGAGCACTGCTCTATTTAACCAAAGCTGTTAAACTAATTTAGTCAAATAGATAAACTACTCTTCCAAGATCTATTTAAATATGTGTTGATTGGAAGCCATTGTATATGTTGAGGAAGGTCAGCAATACATTACTGATTACATTGGTGCAAAAACAATACTATAATATATTGTCCCTGTTTTAAGTCTGTTAACTTGATCCAATAAATTATAGAACCTCGCCATGCTTGCTCTCTGTGGTGGATCATTAATAACAATTAATAATAAATAATGAAAAAATAAGTAATAAATGGCTCTTTATGTGTTTTGTTGATTAACGCTCTTTTCCACAGTAAACTGGCTAATATAAAGGGTTCTCATAAATAATGAATCATTTATTTTATTTTCAAATACTCCAAGGGTTATGTTTTTAAAGCCGGAAGTACTATAATGACTGCATTAACGCTAACTTTATTATTTTACTGAGTTGCAGTTGCAGGCTAACGCCTCGTGTTGATCAGTATTGTCACAGGGCAACATTTCTATTAAATGGCACATGCAGATCTCCCTCATCTTCAGTGCTACAGCGGTCGCCAAGTGGAGAGCCTGATCGCTTTTCGTTTGAAAGCATATATCCGAAGTGCTTTCATTTTGGCATTAACGACAATTAAATAATGATGTGTAGTTCAAGAAGTAGTCCGCTGGGGGGCAGTATGTATAAATATGACTAAAACGCGCTTGCATGTGTAGCAACACGACAATAACTGCTTTTCCTTGTTTTTAGCGGCAAAAAAAACGTGTTTCTATAATACACTTGATTACTTTTGTGAACCTTCTGTTACTTTATTTCGAATATTTTGTTTTGGCACCGGAGTTTGAAAGTACTACCGGACGAAGCTATTTACGCGCACATTTACAGATGTCTCTATTATTCTGAAAATAAATTGGTCTTTCCCTACAACAACTTCCGCAATGCTTCCGGAAGTGACAGAAGAAAGTAAATAGAGGAACTACAACTGGATCCAGAAATTAAGATAATCGCCACTAAAGGGAGCGATTTAAAAAAGACTTTGTGCTTTGTTTGCATAATAAAGGAAATATTCATGCCAAACTAGTTCAGAGTCAAATAAAGGTAAACCGTTTAACGGCGTAACGTTATGTTTCCTGTTCCAAATAGACCACCGTTACAGAAGCTAACGTTAGCAGCTAGTGTTAGCAAGCATTTTTATATTAGGTTCCGTCACTACAAATAAATATATCAGTCGTTACTTTCTAAAGCATCGATGGTGGCACGTAGTTCAACTATTATTACGCATATTCAGACTCATTTAACTGGCCAACACGGATTAACTTTATCTCGAATGCACTGAAAGTAAAACAGCTGTTTGTTCACTGCTGCAGCAGCGACATGAACGTCCTTCCACTTACTGCTCTGCTCCAAAATCAATCAAACCGGCATCATCTGTCTTTATTATAGGACCAAATCTGATACCAGTGTTGTATTTCCCACCAAAATGAGCTCACTTTAAATCACCTGTTCTGAGGGACCGAATTAACATAAAACAGTCTTGTCGTTTTTGTATTCGTCTTATCCAAGTCACACAGTATTTCACTTCAAGGTTGTTGTTTTTGTTGTTGTAATCACTCACAGGTCCAGCGATGTTCACAGACATGGATTATGAATTGGAGGAGGACAAACTGTGAGTCACAATTACGTTTCTCCTTTATAATATTTGCGCCATTCAGTGTGTGTTTTTAAATATTCAGTTCACACATGAGACTAATCCAAACATTTGGAGACATGATATCACCAAACCCTTTTCCTCTCATTACTGAAATAAATGTGTATGAACTTTTGTACTATAAACTTGTACTTGTTAGAATGCAAAACCCGGATCAACTCTCAGTGCATGTTCTCTTCTACAGGGGGATACCAACAGTACCAGGCACGGTGTGTTTGAAGAAAGATGCTAATAACCTGATTGGGATCAGCATCGGGGGGGGAGCCCAGTACTGCCCTTGTCTCTACATTGTCCAGGTATGTACACATCAATTGATTTGAACATTTCTGTAAAGTATCAAATGTAAGAACTGTGCGTTCTGTGTTGTTTGTACCGTTTTAACGTGGTTTCTTGTTGCAGGTCTTTGATAACACCCCGGCAGCTCTGGACGGGACACTGGCAGCAGGGGATGAAATCACAGGCGTGAATGGGAAACCAGTGAAGGGAAAGACCAAAGTGGAGGTGGCCAAGATGATTCAAGCTGTACAGGTACTCAAATCTCCCACCAGGAAATGATCAGATGTCTCCTCAATGTTTTGGATATACAATATAGATTCATAACAATAACTTTTAGAGTTCATAAGTAAAATATAAGAACATATGGCGATGGATAGATTTGTTTAGAAAAAATAAACATTACTTACATTTCTGCGTCCAACACTGGCTGAAGATTTATCAGCAAATCGTCCAAAAGTTGGCCGATTGTGCATGTGAAGCTACCTTCAGTCTACAAAAAGGGGACTTCGCTGGCTTGGAAAGTAGTGCTGCAGAGTTCAGAACCACCAGAGTTTAGCAAAACGTCACCATGCTGGGTGGTTGCTGTGTTTTTTTTTGGCATCCATTGTTCTCCCCCCAGCAAAATTCCATGACTTGGCTTGACTGCCTGACAGATTAAAGAAGGGGTCCAACGTGGGATTTAAAGATTAGAATGTGTTGCTGTTTCCCATTCAGGGCACATTATTGTGCGTATGAATTTTAGCGTCAGCACCGTGGAGCTTGAATAGTTTGCACAGAAGGATCACCCAGTTTGGCCTCATGTAATAGATTACAACAATGTATTTGACTGGTTCAATTTTAGATTTACATCAAATCCAATTAATGACATCAATTCTTTGTCACCTAGAGATTGTTTACTTTTAAATACAATATTTTTACTGTGTATCTATGGATTGTGTTTTCACAGGGAGAAGCAGTAATCCACTACAACAAACTGCAGGCGGACCCCAAACAGGGGAAGTCACTGGATATAGGTATCGCCTCTATTAGCAGTGGCTCATTGTTTGCTTATTTACCTGCAGGTGGCTTGTGCATTGTAATGCTCTGAGTTGCTTCCTACCTTTCTATCACAATAACATTTCCCCCAGTAAACACACCTGCTTTGTCTTTCAGTGTTAAAAAAAGTCAAACATCGGCTGGTAGAGAATATGAGCTCCGGCACAGCAGATGCTCTCGGACTCAGCAGAGCTATTCTATGCAACGGTGGGATTGTTGTTATTGTTATTATGAGCATACTGTTTATGCACTCGTGCATTTGAGTGGATAGATGTGAAGCTCAACTCGAGTCGATTTACTTTTATAGATGGACTGGTCAAAAGACTGGAGGAGCTGGAGAAAACAGCAGAGCTCTATAAAGGTAAAGAATAAAACGACTCCGAAGCTGGCAATCGATGGACTAAAGTATTTTAGCACAGCGTGAAACGTAATGAAACCGATACCGTGACGTTTCGATCTGATGCACTCTGTTCAAGTGTTTTCCTACAGAGATTCAAACCTGCGTCTCATTGCTGTGTTTGCTCGTAGGCCTGATGGAGCACACAAAGAGACTGCTCAGAGCTTTCTTTGAGCTTTCTCAAACTCACAGAGGTGAGTCGCTCGGTTCAAAAAATGAAAGAAAAGAAAAAAGCATTTCATCTTAATGTATGTCAATCTGTCTGCGCTTTAGCGTGTGGCGTGTCTGACTCGAACATCTGCCCCTCCAGGGTTCGGCGATGTCTTCTCTGTCATCGGGGTGCGAGAGCCGCAGGCTGCGGCCAGCGAGGCTTTCGTGAAGTTCGCCGATGCTCACCGCAGCATCGAGAAATACGGTATTCAGCTGCTGAAGACCATCAAACCTGTGAGTACAGATCGAAGTCCGATTGTTTCCTCTCCGATCAAACTGATTTTGTTATTAACGGTATGGAATGGGTGTTATTCCATCACGGCGGTGTTCTATTGTGTGTCTCTCGTGTGGATCTCACGACCTGACTGCCGGGTCTGACGTCTCCACACATCATGTCTGGCTGTGCAGATGCTCCACGACCTGAACACGTACCTGCACAAGGCCATACCCGACACGAAGCTCACCATCCGCAAGTACCTGGATGTGAAGTTTGAATATCTGGTGAGGCAGCGGCACTCACGGTGTCCTCAGTAGCAGTTCAGTTCACTGTCCGTCTACAGAGCGACTGTAAGAATCCGTTGTGTCTTTCAGTCGTATTGCCTGAAGGTGAAGGAGATGGATGATGAAGAATACAGCAGTATTGTGAGTTTGACTGGTTGCTTTAATCTCTCGGAGGACTCTTGCGCTCGTGTTATCTGAAGCCGTGACTAACTTCCCTCAGGCCATGGGGGAGCCTCTGTACCGAGTCAGCACCGGCAACTATGAATACCGCCTAGTGCTGCGGTGTCGGCAGGAGGCCCGCGCCCGCTTTGCCAAGATGAGGAAGGACGTTTTGGAGAAAATAGAGCTGCTGGACCAGAAACACGGTCTGTTGTTATTTTTTGGCCTTTTTTCAGCCGTGTGTTATTTTTGATTTATTTTATTGATTTATCAGTCGATTGCAGAGTGGAACAGTGCTGCAGCGATACGTCTGTCCGATCGGTTGCTCTATTCACTGGACATGAGACCATGTCTGTCCCTCACGCCCCACGTCAAGCACATTTTAACAGTCAGTTGTTCACTTAAATCTGTGATTTTTGAGAGGAATTCGGACACTAACCTAGTTTTTGCCAAAATGTGCTTGGATGTCTTGTTTTTTTGTTTCATTTTTGGGGATTTTGTCTGCAAAAACGGACAAAGAAATGTAAAGATATTGTTACGGAAAAACTGAGACTGGTAATATGAAGATAAATTCTGCCTGTGGACGACCATAGAAGCCATTTTAATTTCGTACGGACATTTAGCAATTTAATCTCATGACCCTCAATTAGAAAACCTCACAGTAAATAATATTTCTAACCCCCCTTTTCTAACTATTCTTGCTCACTCTCTTCACGTTCTTTATTTTTTATTTGTGCCAACACTTGCTCTCAGTCCACTAACAGTCCACTCTGTCCCCTACAGTCCAGGACATTGTGTTCCAGCTGCAGCGCTTCGTCTCAGGCATGTCCCATTACTATGACGAGTGCTACGCCGTCCTCAAGGAGGCGGATGTCTTCCCCATTGAAGTGGACCTCTCCCGCACCACCATCAACTACGGCAGCCAGTCCATGTCCTACGCCGGAGATGAGGAGGACGAGGAGGAGGAGGAGGAGGAGGAGGGAGGAGCTGGAGAGGAAGGAGGGGGCAGTACAGAGAGACAAGCAGAGAATGGAGCTGAGAAACTCATCGATGATGAATGACAGTTTGTGCGCGTGTTTGTGTGTGTTTGTGCGTGACAACTGTTCTTCACTTGCATTTAATGGCAATGCACTCACTGAGCAGCAGTCTTTGCGGTGGAGTAAATGGCTGCAATGATGCTGTATGTTCTTCTTTTGGTCGTCAATCCTTCGCGGGATTCTCTCAAATCAACAGCTATGCTTTGCATTTATTGTCCCACTTTTGACTGTAAAACTTTGTCTTTAAAATATCAAATACTGCTTTTTAATGTCTCCTCCACAGTCGAGGGCTTTGCTTAATGACTGTGAGAGAGACACAACTAACAGATGGCAATTGTGTTTGGATCAGAACGCTCTGGAGAGGCTTTAATGCGGCAGAATAGGTTTATGAGATCATGACATTCTGAGATTATGAGGTGTGCCTTCTTAGCTCCCAGTGAAGCCTGACAGGCCTGGGATGCATGTCATTGTGGATTCTTAACGTTATATCTTGATAGTAGCTTTGTTTTTCTTTCCTACAAAAATATTTTGAACAGGGATTTATTTAGCTATCTTAAATGTTATGTTGTGGTTAAACGTGAAACTTTCTCCTCAGCTTTAACACATGGTAATTGACACTACTGGATACATCTGAAGGTCATGTTTAAGATAATATCTGAAGAAGTTTGTAATATGAAACTGTTACACTCCTTTATCTTCCTATCATATTTTAGTATCTTCACAAGTGAGAGCCTGCTACTTTCCACAGTGTTTAACTCTGAAAAGCTTCACAACCAAAGTCTAGTTTTATTTTGTTATTCAATCTCTTTCACCTCTTGCAAAACTGCCTGTTCAAAGGTCAAATTAGCTTTTTCTTGTAACACAGCTGAAACTCTTATCGTCGACAGCATGTCTTCTTTTCATTCCATTGATGACTTTGGTAGTGTTTCTGCTTTTAAAGAGAAAGGTGGTGGACACGCAAAAGCCTCGCAGAGCGTCATAGTCGATGAAGCAACACAAACGTTAATGTAAATAACTATGTACAAAGGGAAAGGGTGTAACAACTGTCATTTTCATTTTTATTTCCACTTAATTTATAAAGTTATAATTTATATAAAATATATGTAAAAGGTTATAATTGGAAAATGTGATTCTATTTATAGTCTGTCACTCCTTGTTGCCTTCAGGAGGATAAGATGACTTTGCGTTTTGATGATTTACTATTGGGAACACTAGGGGGAAGCATCGCATCCGATAACACTATCCTGCAGTCAACCACAACTACACTATGTGTCAAAATAAATTTGAAAAAAAGACGCCTTTTGTTTATTGTTGTCTTCTCCTGAATAACTGGAATGAATTAAATCACAATGAGCTACTGTATTACAACTGTTATCTTAGATATCTTATAAATTCCCCCATGGTGCATTAGTTTAGCCGCGTAGCCCCAGTGGCCTAATGGATAAGGCACTGGCCTCCTAAGCCAGGGATTGTGGGTTCGAGTCCCATCTGGGGTGAACCGTTTTCCGTCTTTTGAGAATGGAAAAATAATAAAATGGTTGAAAAATAACATTTTTTGTGACATGTAGTGCAAAGTGTAATTTTCATTTTCAATAACAAATCCCTCCTAGAGGACATGATGTTACTCCCTTTCCTTCGGCTCTGCAGCCAATCAGGAAGCGCTCCGCTCGGTTTACACGCAGGTTTACTTGGACTTTCCTTCCTCCATAAATCGGACTGCCTCTCCGCTTTGAGCCACATTTGATCGAACCGCGTCTCTTTTCTTCTTTTTTTCTGCTTTTAAGGGAATTTACAGAGCAATGTTTTTAGAAAAGACGCTTTACGTCCTCCTGTTATGTTCTGTGTCAACGACCTCTTCTGCTGACAGTAAGTAAGCGAGTGGAAACGAAATCACGGGTTGTTGCGTCCTGATCTATTCAGGCTTTAACATTCGCTGTGAGTCCGCATGCATGCACTTCTGTATAAAAGTGACTGACTATGATTTAAGTGGTGTCTGAAATGACCGCTTGAGCTGAATCGGCTGTTTTCTTTAGCTGTTTAAGATTAAGGGTGAATCCTCACACTCAGCAGGGCTTCTGCCTCTGACATGTTTATCTTTGACCTTCACCTTTCTATACTTAAATCAGTTCACTTAAATCAAAATATGCAAATGTCACAGCATTTGGACGGCAGAAGACGAGAAACACGGAACTCAGACATACAGACTGGGCTATTTTTAGTGAACTTGTGGGTCACAAGACTTCATGTTCCTTAGTAGATGTTTCTCAAGCCGAAAGAACATTTACAACACAATGCTGCCATGTAATTAGTAAAGGTATTAGGAGATCTACAGTACATATGACTTTACTTATATTCTAGTCAATATGACCAATTCATATTTTACAGCCAGCTGCCTACTTGACAGTTGTGACCTTGTATTGTTATTTTGCTTTGTTCACGACCTCTTTCTGCAATGCTGCGTGGTGTATTAACAGAGATGACAGCAGCCACAGTGTACTGGGACCCCCAACACAAGGTTGTCCTGCTGAAGGAAGGGGTGCTAGAGAAGGAAGGAGATGCATACGGTTATCTGAATGACACCCTGTCAAGTACAGGCTGGAGTGTCCTGGAGATCCGTGCTGGGTATGGGGAGACCCCTGAAACCGACGAGGTGACCTTCTTCTTGGCTGGATACCTTGAAGGCTTTCTCACCGCCCAGTAAGTGTGATGGATGTGCTGTCATCCAGATATCAGTGATTCGGGAGATTGGTTGGTTGTTAATAGTATGGTCTGTTCAGAGAGAGAGAAAGAGGAACTTTGATGAGCTTTGACCTTTTACATCACCTTCGGTCAGCCTCCGTCAGGCTCATACCTATTCACCGATCAGACATTATCAAACATGTTGTTTTGGCATTGTAAAATGCTGTATATTTGTCATTCTGATTAAAGTATTTTAGTATTCATTCGATCCTTTTCTCATCAGGCAGATGATGGACCACTATGCCAACATGTATCCGCAGCTGATCCACGACCCAAAGATCCTCAGCCCAGTTCAGAGTTTCATGGCGTGAGTCTATTCCGTTTTCCTGCTAAAGTCACATGCAGTACACAATCTGATTCCCACAGCAGTGTCACAATCTCTCATATCCTCTTTTCAGAGTTGTTCAGTTTAGCTCAGGCTTGGGCCAGATATTAAACCTTGTAAGGTTCCCATAATGGCAGGTAGTCCGTTCCTGAAAATTAAAACACTGTACAATTGAGCAGGAAAAAGAAAGCAGAGAGAAGCTTTGGGTTGTTTTAATAGTACAATATTTTTCCTCAGTTCAAGTCCGCTTGATAAAAGTATTTGGTCATGAGCTCAGTGTTTGGTTCTTTACTTTTATGGGTTTTACAGTAAATGTGTATAATGTAGGAAACAAGACGCGTGGACCAGAGAGCAAGTCAAACTGAACAAGAGCTCCGACCCTCTGTGGAAACACACCGGCTTCATCGTGGCTCAGATGGATGGACTGCAAGCAGGAGTCGCACACTGGGCAAAGAAACAGGGAAAAACGGTGAGAAGGACTCATAACATTACCAGGGAAAGGGAATAATCTGAGTCTAATGGAAACTATACATTCCACGTATCCACAGTATCCATATAACTGCTTTAAATACTGCTCTGCCAAGTAATGGATTGTTGTGGGGCCATACTGTTAATAGTCAGGTTTGTAAGAAATGGCCCTTAATAGCTCATGATTTCAGTATTTTGAAGCGTATCACTGGCTGTCTCACTATAAAAGGCTACTGCTCTTTTTCATTTTCTGACAAACTGTTTAACTGGCCTCCTTCGCATAGCCGCTGTCCCTGTTTGCCGTCCAGTTCCTGAACGCAGTGGGAGACCTGCTGGATCTCATCCCATCCTTGGTCCCCACCTCCAACCCTCCACACAGGGGATTCAAACTTCCAGGGATGGGACACTGTTCTGCTCTCATCAAGGTCAGAGGTCAAAACATGTGCAGTCATTTTGTCCCTTAAAGCTCCCGTGCACAACATGCGTCTTACATTAGTAAAATATCAGCTTTCCTTAATTGTACTAAATTTAAAAACAACACAAAAGCAACTTCAGATTGTGGGAAGAACCCACACAGACACGGGGAGAACATGCAGACTCCACACAGAGCGGCTGCTGGGTGGTTTTGAACCAGGGACCATCTTCTAAACACCACACCACCGGGCCGCCTCTGTCTTTGCATTAGTGAAGAATTTTGACTGTAAAAGTGTTTTTCCTCTGCGACCGCCACCATACAGGGTGCAGTGCTCCCAGAGACATTTTATGTATCACTGGTAGCTGAAAATTATTGTTTGTGGTTCAAGTTATGATTACAAAGTATTTGTTCTCCATGTATTTCATTTTTTAAATTAGCATCACACATACTTGAATTACAACTGATTATGTAGCTTCACCAGCAGTAATTCAATTACTTACCAATTACTTCATTGAATTCATAGTAATTGATTAATTAAAGTCAACAATATCTGTAGTAGCTTTTGTAAGTTCATATTTACACTGAAAACAAAGATGACATTTTTTGTTTTATGGCATTGAATGGAAAACTCAACTTGTTTTCTATGGTTTTATTTAAATTTTCCTGTAATTTACTGAGATGTTGTATGATTGGTCCACACCAAACAGCCCTTAAGGTGAGAAAGCTTAAAGATGACGCACTGCCGCACTCACGTTGATGATAATTTGAGTCTTTGCATGAAGTTAGGCACTTATGTGCAGTGTCAAAATCTGATTCCCTTTCACACAAATCCCGGTCATTTCTGCTGACACAAGGTACCGCGTTGACAATGGAGTCTAACGCCACACTTGACGGTTTTCTCCCCCCTCTCCCCCTCCAGATGATGCCCGGCTTTGAGAACCTCTTGTTTGCCCACTCCAGCTGGTACACGTACGCTGCTACAATGCGGATCTACAAACACTGGGATTTCCACATCACCGAGCCCCACACAGCCACCGGGAAACTGTCCTTCAGCAGCTACCCAGGTATGACGGACCCGGGCCTTCTCCATGGCGACAGTTCTTCAACGATAACGAGGAGTTGTAGCAATTTGCAATCAGTTTTCCACTAAACAGGCTTGTTTGTGAAGTATGTCTTTAATGGTCTCTGCTTAATCTTCTTCTTCAGGCTTCCTTGTGTCTCTGGATGACTTCTACCTCTTGGGCAGTGGTCTGATGATGACCCAGACCACCAACAATGTCTTCAACACTTCCCTCTTCGGGACAGTCACTCCCAACAGCCTCTTGGCATGGCAGCGGGTCAGGCTGGCTCACAGTCTGGCAAAGACCGGGGAAGAGTGGGCAAAAACATTCTCCATGCACAACTCAGGTTAGTGGTTGTAGATTTTTACCAACACGCCGCCACAAATTATTCTAAAAGAGACAACGAAATACAACATGAATCATTAGGTAAATAACAGTAAAGACACTTTCATCTCAAGAAAATCAGTAAAACAAAGTTAAATCAAGTGATTTTGATTCGGTTGGCTGTGAGGAAGTGGAGCCGGAAAGAAGTGAACTCACCAGACCTTCTCAGCCGGCTCCCCGTCCAGAGGTTTGAGGCAACACTAGCCGCTAAAAGACTACATCTCTGGCTCTACTTGTGTAGGCACCTACAACAACCAGTACATGGTGTTGGACAGGAGCCGAGTGAAGCTGGGCCACAGTCTGGATGACGGCGCTCTGACCGTGGTGGAGCAGATCCCAGGCCTGGTGGAGTACTCTGACCAGACGCAGGCTCTGCGCAGAGGTGACAACAGATCATTTCATCCTGTTTTTCTAAGGTAGTTGTTTCATTTGAACGTTTGAAGAGTTTGATCTTCCTTCTGCCTTCGCCGACCGAAGGTTATTGGCCGTCCTACAACGTTCCTTTCCACCACAAGATCTACACGCTGAGTGGTTATGGTCAAATGTGGGAGGAGTATGGAGAAGACTTCTCCTACGATCTCTGCCCCAGAGCCAAGATCTTCCGTCGTGACCAGGCTGACGTCAAGGACCTGGACTCCTTAAAGCACATTATGAGGTTTAACGGTGAGTGGCTCTGTGTGTAAGATACAAACAAACCCATTGATATGTTTGTTAACCGAATAAGCGTGCTTCCCCAAGTAATCGTGAAGCATCGTCAATCATAGTCATCTTGATTTTGTGTAACGAGTTACTTATCAGCAGAGAAGAGGACTTGTAGCCACATATTTAATGTTCCCGTTGTTGTTTGTCTGGTGGTTTTCAGACTACAAGAAGGATCCATACTCCAAGGGGGACCCCTGCAAGACCATCTGCTGCCGTAATGACCTAAATCCAGTGAACCCTACACCGGGAGGTTGCTATGACACCAAGGTACCCCAGTGCTCATTATTGATAGACATCACCCGTGAATTCAAATGGCTTTGAGCTCAGCTGTGGTCTGGTTCATGTTCTCTTTCCAGGTGACAGATTTCCACATGGCCGGGGACTTCCGGGCGGAGGCAGTGAACGGGCCAACGACTCAGGACGGACTGCCGCCGTTCTTTTGGGATAAATTCAGCAGCATGAGCCACCAGGGTCTGCCGCAGTTCTACAACTTTACCTTCATCCGGATGCAGCCGGTCCTCTTTGAGCCATGAGGTGTGTTTGTGAGAGAGACAGACAGAGGGAGAGAGGTTCTGTGTGTCTGATGCTTTCTGAGGAGGTAATGATGGGAGTCAACGGTACAATCTGATGTTTCGTCTGTGCTTATCACGTCTTTTTACACCCTGATTATTTTTGTTTTAATTGTTTCTCAAAGTTACAATCTCCTTGATCCCCATTTTATTCTCTCTGGCGGCAACCGTGGCAACAAGCGGTAATTACAGTCATGTCTTCCGATCTGATTTTTTTTAATGTGCCACACAGAATCTTATTTTAAAATTGCGTCCCATCATATGCTTTTTACTTATTTTTTTTATTTGACATTTTTGACTAACAGTACTTTCACCTACCTGATAAAATGCAGGATGTCAACCTGACAATTACTAAGTTAAACTCAGTATATGTCCCATGTGCGTTATTTCATTTGGAATACAGTTTATTTTTATACTTTCAGCCATTTGTGCCTTAATCACTGACAGCAACTTTATTATTTTATAATATAATGAATGAATGCACTAAATCATTAAAAAGATTGAATCTTTATTTAAATGTCTGAATGTCTTCGTAGATGCAAACACCATAATTTCAATCATAAATGTCTGAATCAGTACAATGTCGAATATCTCAGGTTGAAATATTTATTACAATCCTGTGTTTCTTTTGTAATACTATACTCCACTGTATCTGTATAATGGCATCCATTCATGTGTTCTTTATTAAAATGTTTACAGTTTTACCTGCAGTTTCCTGTCTTTAATCTTGTGCAACTAATGCTACAATTTTTTTTCATCATAATGAGAAATAACGCTTAAATCAATGGTCAAATAAGGAAAATGGTCTTAACATTATGTTTATGAAATATATTCCATATTAGTTGTTATTTTACACTGCATATATTTGATATTCAACGTGAGTTCCATGTTGGTACCACGTGGTACCAAAGACCAAATATAGACCAGATGTTTGTGTGGGGGAAACACAAAACATCTGTGAAGCAGTTATGGGAGTAGACAGGAGCCCCTTTGTTTTTTCTTCGGATTTGTTCTTAGATTTAGGGAATCACCTCAACTATAAGAAAGCCCAAATTTCAGTAGCAGGCACAAATGGGTCGTATGATGTCTGGTGGGAATTATTGGTGTCGTGCCAAAAGGGATTGCGTGCCAAAAACCGAAAGCCATTCCTAGTAGCACCCAGCATGTTAAAGCTGCATTGCCAAGGTTATAGTCTAACGCTGCCAGGTTTGTCTGAAAACATTTCTGAATGAAAAATTTTTCCTCTAACCGGATAACTGTGATCAGGTGTTTGCAGCTCAAAATTCAGGCATTCAATTTACATGATATAGGCAACACAATTTTTTCTACATGAAATACCACATATTTTTTCAGCATGCTAAACAATGACTTCTGGTTAACCCAGCACAGGAAGTTATTTGAAGTTTGCCGATAATGATTGCCATGGTCTGCCAAGACAGAAAAATATTACATTTTGGCTTTCATATTTTTATCTTATTTTATTCTATTGTATTCTTATATCACACCAATCACCAAGACAAATTCCTGTATGTGTATCCTTCATGGCAATGAATCCCTTCTGATTCTGATATAAGGTAGGAGCTACAACCATAACTACTGAAGCACCATTTTGGACAAGTGTGTATAAACTACGGTCTGCGGGCCAACAGCGGCCCGCCATCTATATTTAATAGGCCCGTATCAAAGTCTAAACATGTAATGGACTATGGCCACTGCATTGCACTTCTTAGTTGAACACAGTTGTGAAAACTGTCAACATCTCCGGCTGAAGAAGAGGCTGAGCTGGTCACCATGGTCTCTGTCAGAAAGCTGATCAACTAAATGCTGACACGGCAGAAAGCCCACTACGTGGAGATACTGGACACCTTTAATAGGTTTGTCCGGGTGATTCTGGACTCCGCCAACGAGCGTCTTGACTCCATGAACAGGAGTGTACAGGAGATCAAAGACAGTATTCATTCACCCAGCGAGAAGTAGATGAGATTAAAGCCAATGTAGCCTCTGGATGTCTTTTATCTTACACCCTGCTCCTCACAGGTTATGCACCTCAAAGGTTAATCTGATCCCGCTCAACATTTCTTAGCCGAGAGTTAAGACCTTGATAATGCTTCACTGTGAATATTATAAGAATCGGATAATCGGCAAAGTTGATCATTCGCTAAGAACAACTAAACCGTTGTAACTCTACTCCACATCATAGGATTCTTTCCAATTTACACATGTTTGATGAGGCTTTGGGCCTGAAGAGATGTAAAGTTGAATCAAGTCATAGCGTCACCTACTGGTAACAGAAAATCAAATTTTCTAGTATCCAGTAAAAAACGAAGGTGGCATTTCGAGAGGCTTTAATTTGTAAAATGGTACATCAGAATGTCCTGGTTATCCCTGAGTCACACCTTGGGGATGTGTACTGCCTAAAGTAGAAATACTGTGTAACTATTGATTTTTTTGGTTTTAAATCTAATCTGAAATTGACCAGATCCTAGATCTGACCAGATCAGTCTTGCGATTGAGATTTTTGCTCATGTATGGTATTTTGAGAGGCTTTAACTTTGGAATGGTACGTCAGAATGTCCTGGTTATTCCTAACTGACACCTTTGGGATGTGTGCTATCAACCTGAAGTGAAATCATGTAACTATTGATAGTTTCCTTTTAAATCTAATCTGAAATTGACCAGAAGTCTCGTGAAAAAGTTTGAAGGAAGTTGGCTCATGTATGGTATTTTGAGAGGCTTTCATTTTGGAATAATACATCAGAATGTCCAGGTCATCTCTGAGCTACACCGTGGGGATGTGCACTATCAACCTGAAGTGAAATTTTCATGTAACTATTGATAGTTTCCTGTTGATTCTAATCAGAATTTGACCAGAAGTTAACTGGTAAAAGATTTTGAAGGATGTCTAATCTAATCTGAAATTGACCTGAAGTAGTCTTGTGAATTACATTTTGAAGGAATTTGGGTGTCAAAGATGAAGTTTGCAAAGCGGCATTCCTGGTGTTGATCCTTATGGTTAACGACGACTCTCTCTCGGACGCTTTGTCCGACGGCCGTAGGGGTTCTTGGCTGCGTTTTTAGCTGCCGGCCAGGGCCCCAACATGCGGAGTAGCGAGGACCCGTCCAATGCTGCTTGCTGCTTTAATTCCTTATTCTTTTTTTTTTTTTATATCTATTAAACTACCGAAAAAAGGTTTAGTTTGCTCATTTTAAACGTCTGTAGATTAAAGAACAGGGAACAAGAGAAAGGTATGGGGGAGTACCTCCCCCATACCTTTCTCTGCTAACTTCCTGCTAACCTTTCTCTGCTAACTTCCCCACGCTGACCAAAATCAAATGCGCATTTCCAAATGCCAAGCTCTCTGCTAAAATGGGTTAATGCTGTACAAAAGCAGATTGAGAACCAGAATGGCCGACAGCATCTCCGTGACGTCCTTCACGTCTCAACCACCACACTTACTCCTGACTAATCATTTATTTGTGTAATAAGCTTGAAATATCCACATCCCCTATTTCTCTTCTTGTGTCTCCCTTCATGCAGGACAATGAAGGGGTATCAGCACCCTGAGAACCAATCTGAAGCTCAATGAGAGAATGACCTGCCAACCCCTTTCCTAAAAAATAAAAGGATGGAGCCTTTTTTTCTTCAAACATGTTTAATTATCAAACATAAAATACCTGCATTTGATTGATTTTGCCAATATTAGTGCATTAGAAGTGAGGCAGTGTACCTCACATTTTCTGTATGTGGCCCTCAGGGAAAAACGTTTTGACGCCCTTGATTTAAGCAAAAAACAAAACCAAATCCAACATGAAAAGTAATAATAAGTAAAAGTGAGAGTGAGAAAGAAAAAACATGTTTCATAAATTACACACAAAATCAAACAAAATAGGAAGAGCAAAATATTTGCGTAAAAATACACTTTTTACACATTATGTCAACTGACGATTAATAATTCATTGAATCAATTTCTCACCTATCAGTTATTGTAGTTCTTTTTTTTTTAATTATATTTATCTTATCTACTGCAGACAAATGCATTGTCCAACTTTTATCAAAACAAGTGTTTCCTGTCACGATGCTTTTAATGAGACCTGAATTATGTTAAGAATTAAATCCACTAATGGTTGCCATTTCTTATTTTCAGCACAAAAACCCTTCACAACACAATAATCCAGCGTAAGGGATTAAAGATGCAAATCTTTCTATGAATGACATATATCCTGTATATATGTATATATATGCAGGATATGTGTATATATGTGTATATGTGTGTATGTGTATATATGTAAAACTGTATATATACAGTTTTACACAGTGATCAACATCTTTACAAAAGCAAATACCTCAGCACAGTTTCATGTCACGTCTTTTCGATAACACCTTTATTCATGGATTAAACATTTTTTCCCTCAATAAACAGCTTTAAAAAAATAAATACAACAATATTATCTTGTAAAATAAAGTAAAAAACAATGAGTTCTCATTCATTCTGGTGCATCTGCATCCCTGTATTACAAACAAACACGTAATTTGTAAATATGCAGGCGTTTAATCTGTAGCTAATATTATATTGATAATATTATTCAGCAACTGACTTTGTAAGTGTATACTAATTTAAATATTAATGATTAAATTATAAACAGGTGCCATTTCATTCATTTTGGAAAGACTCTCATTATTGCTATTAATGAAAACCTTCAATTAAATCCCAATTCAGACAAATAAGACACTTCAGTCTTTTGTTACTAGGGTGGAGTTTTGTTCTTTTTCTGACTTGTTCTACATTTCCTCCAGACTCTCAATAGCTTCTTGTTTACTGTAATAACGCCACTGTCTGGGAATTTCTCCTCTGCCCTGGAACCTCATGTTGTAGTGGTCTTCCAGTTCCTTTTGAAATGTGCAGACAAACCATTTCCAGTATGTCAGTTTAGACACATCAGGAATAATCATCCATGAAGCATATTTCATTCCAGCTGTTTGATATCTTTTATAAGGAATGCTGACTTCTGAATGGGAATGAAACCTCTATCACTAGAAACTAATGTTGTACAGAAATCATAGTCCAGCTCCTTTGTGCCTCCAGAGTGAAATCCTGTAATCCCAGAGGGGCGATGGAAAGGGACGTTGTGTTTGTCAGGACTGTGATCTTTCATTGTGTTGGTACAAACAGCTGCACAGAATGGACACGTTACCCAGCAGCAGTTACAAAGCTGATCAATGAGGATTTGATCAGGCTTCATTCTGAATTTCTTCATTTCATCCAGTGAGAGGCTTCTCAGCTCCTTTACGATGGATTCAAGACCTTTCTCTATCTCTTCTTTGAGAAAGTCAAAACTGTTTAAGTCACTGACGTTTTTACAGCAGATGGTGTTGAATGTTAGCCTAGCTTGTAGCAAAATGTAAAATTCCTCCATCCACATGTCTGCGTCTCCTCCGCCGGTTTTCACTTTCTCTGTTGCATCATGTAAAGCGTGACACACCAGATTTTTGATGTCGTCCAAATTTTTACTGAGTATTTTCATGGCCGTCTCTTTTCCCTCTTTTGTGGAGTATTTCTGTACTTCTTCTCTTATATACGTCTCTGTTTGGTTCCTCGGCTGTTGAATGTAGGTAATAAAACTATTGAAGTCCTCTTCCTCAGCAAGTGACTTCAAAATGTGTTTCTCCAAATTGGAACAGTAGAACTCTTCAGCTTGTCACAGA